ATGCGGGTCATCCGCAAGCTCGACAACGCGGATGACCTGATCCAATCTTTCTCGGAATGGGAGAAATCCATATCATCTCAAGATGAAGGCTCCCCGACACTCGCTGCCCAAGACCAGCGGCGTATTCTCGATTTCCCGGATCCTGACACTCAAGCTGCCAACATTGCAAAGTCGTCCACACTCAGTAAGGAGGACCTACTCAAGCGCGCGGCAGAGACCCCAGCACAGCTGTCTGCGACTGAAGTCGCCTTGCTCAAGAACCGCTACTGGCTGGAAATCTCGTCTGACGAAGAGCACGAGGTGACCTTGGCTCACGGACTGATATCCGGGCCCCACCGTGTTTCCGAGGAAGAGTTCAATGAAGCTGACAAACGCCTCAAGACGGTGCGGCATCCGCTGTACGCGGAAAACGAGGAGAAGGCTATCGAAAATGCCTTTGCTGAGCACTGGCGGCGCGAGAACGAGGCGTGGAGGGCGAGGCAGAAGCAAGAAGCCGAAAGGTCTATTCTGGCCAGGGCGGCTCCCTGGGTGAGGCGCCTATGGGATGAGGAAAAGGGCGAGAAGCATTGGGGATATGGCATTTTTGTCGATCCTGAAGCATTTGCCGACGACGAAGACGTTGAGGACTATATGTGCCGTCGAGACGGGATTTTCTTCCATGGTCGAGATGCGATCGGGGCAGGGAGCAGTGCCATCAACAACATGTGGAGATTGCAAAGGCTTCAGTGGCCCGCGAACATCCCTGCAGACGATGACACAAAGGACGAGAAGAATAACGAGGACGTCGGCAGAGAAAAGGAGGGTAATGATGAGAAGACCGACGACGAACGCGCTGCGAAGTTTCAGAAACTGCGTGAATATTTCAATTCCATTCGAGACCGAGCGCCTAAGAGGCAGAGGCAGGAACGGGAAACCGACACCACAAGCACGCAGGCTGAACGTGGCGGTTTGACGGACGGCATCCTCCAGAATGTGTTTGTGGTTGTGGACAAAGACAGCGCGGATTCAGTCGTCTCTGGAAGTGGACTGGTCGACGACATGTGGGTTTGGGCAGTCGAGCCTGATTACGATGAATCGAAGGAGACACTTGCCCCTGCTGTCGCCACCGAGGGATCGACCTCGACAGAGCCAGCCAGCGGCTACAGAGGCTACATGCGTGTTCGACTGCAGCAACTTGTCAACAAGTTTTACGAGGCACGGCGCTTCCATGAGAATGAGTACCCGATGGCAAAACTCTGGGAGGCCGCTCATAAAAGCAAACACTATGCCTTCGTCTCTACCAAGGACGACGAAGCGCGGAGCTGGAGCGTGGACAGGTTTGTGGGCAGCGCTATGAGAGCCCAGCCACCACGAGTTATGATGGGACCCAAGCCAGTCGGATCATCTGGAACTGGTGTTTGAAGAATGGTATAGATTTGTGAGTATGTCAACAGCGAGTAGACTTGCCGTCTTGATGCTACTCAATTCGCTAGAATGTCTATTACAGATGTAAACTCGCCATGCTCTTAGCAGTTAGTCTAGTGAAACAATGAAGTGTAAAGAAACACATTATCTGCCAACAAACTGAAATCCCTCCTACATTCATTCATGAACTTGGACGCCCATGACAATTCCAATGTCTCGGCCTAGGCACTCTTCAACTTGTCCTGCCCCCTCTGGAATATCTTCTTCCTGATAGTCTGGTCACTCAGCCCAGAAGCGCCATTCATGGTACTGTCAAACACTGTCCTGGGCCCAAAAGCATTCAGCAGCCAGACTATGAAGGCATTCGTGCCCTTCCAGACATAGGGGCTCTTGGCGCTCAACACCTCCGGCACGACCTGGCGTGCAAACTCTTCGGGCTTCATCGTGGTCTTCTCGTGCGTGGCGCTCCGCTCCCTGATCTTGGCCTCCGTGTCGGCGTACACGCTGTCCGGCGCGAACTTAACATTGTCCGCCTGGATGATGGCCGTCGAGACCTCGCCCATGTACACCGTCAATACCTTGAGGCCGAGGGGGCTGACCTCGAGGCGGAGGGTGTCTGAGTACGACGCTACGGCGGCTTTACTGGCGTTGTAGCCGGATGTGAAGGGTCCCGGAAGGCGTGCGAGGACGGAGGCAACGTTGACGATTGTGGGGGGCGTGCTGGAGGTGGGCACTGCGGCGAGAAGGAGGGGTGTGAAAGCCGTCACCATGTCGAACAGGCCGAAGACGTTGGCGTCGAACATTTTCCGGACGCGATCGGAGTCTGCTTCGATTGCGGGTGACTCGTACACTGATAGCTATTCTTTAGTACGTATGGAAGGGGAAAAGGATAATGAGACGTACGAGCACCGGCGTTGTTGTAGAGGATATCCAAAGTGCCGCCGGTTAGATTTGAGATCTCAGCCTTGATGTTGTCGATGCTGTCTTGACTCGTCACATCGAGCGTGAAAGTCTCAATGTTCTTTTGCCCCTGCAGATTCTTCATAGACTTGAGTGAACGGGCGGTTGCGAAGACTCGAAGACCCGCGGCGGCGAATGCGAGCGCCAGAGCATTGCCGGCACCTCCTTCGGTGCATCTATCAGGGTTACCAGTGTCAGTATCACTGTTCTCAAAGTGACCTTCAAGTATTTTTCATACCCAGAGATGAGGATGGTTCTTTGCTTTGAGCCTGCCATGACCAGATTATTCAATGTTAATGCTCAAAAGTGAGTCTGAAGTTTTGAGATCTCAACTCTGCTTCGGTTGTGTGTGGTATTACCTGTTGTCAGTGGACAACAGCCTCCGCTTAAGTATTGTTGAGCACATGATGATTTGGAATGATTGATATTGTCAGTTCTTCTTCATCTATGCCTCTTGCTTGCGAATTTGTGAACATCACCATCACCGCATGGAGCGTACCGTGGCATTCGAATCGTATTAGTGATCTCCGTAGTCATATACGCGTATTCGTCAGGAAGATATGCTTCACTTGATTTGTAAGAACCTAATTGAGACGCCAAAAGCAACGGCTGTTGATGAATTTAAGCTTCATTTCGTTCCGGCCGAGGTGACTTGGATGTTCGAGGATGTTTAATAATCATCCCAACTATGGTGGGGCCGTTCAGCAGGATGCACCGACCACCGACGGGGTGGGTCTTGGGCTGCCGGATCGGTCTAGCTGCCGTCCAACGCCCGGGTTGCGGCATAGAAATGACCCGTCTTTTGTCCTATCGATATCATCCACACATTCCTTATCCTTGCATTCGGCTTGTCTGTTGTAAATATCTCCGGTGTCTGTGTCGTTGTTGCTGTCAGTGTCGTCTTTGTCATGGTCGTCCATATCGTTCCATCCATGATACACCTTCTATTCCTTGTCAGCGTTGTCTATCTCAACATCACGACATCTGGAGATGAACTCTGATCCAATCGGGCGAAGGCTATACTAAGTTCAACGCTTTGGTAACATGGTCTGGTGCAAAGCAGCCCACGGAAAGGAACCTGTGTAAGTGACGAGCAAGGATATAAGTCAAGCCTCGTCGGCTCCTTCAAGCTCTCTCATTTGCACCAACAAGACCATTCACACATTTCGTTCAAGAGCAAACAACATCTGCCCAATATGTCTGGAAACCACTCCATCGTCATCCAAGGCCCGGGGAAGGCCGAAATCGTCGAGGCCCCCATCCCCAAGCTCAGAGAGGACTACCTCATCGTCAAAGTCGCAGCCGTCGCCCTGAACCCCACCGACGTCCTGCACATTGACACTTTCGCACCCGTAGGCGCACGCGTTGGTTGTGACTACGCCGGCACCGTCAAGGAGGTCGGCCCCAAGGCCAGCAAGGCTTTCAAAAAGGGGGACCGCGTCGCCGGGTTCGCCCACGGCTCCAACGCCCTCCACCACGAGGACGGCACGTTTGCGGAATACATCACGGTTAAGGCGGACCTGCAGCTGCGCATCCCGAAAAGTGTTAGCTTCGAGGAGGCCGCAACGCTCGGCCTCGGCGTGGTTACCGCAGGCCAAGCCCTCTTCCAGAGCCTCGACGTGCCTTACCTCGACAGCCCCGCCACGGAGAAGGTGCCGGTCCTCGTCTACGGCGGCAGCACGGCGACGGGATCGCTGGCTATCCAGTACGCCAAGCTCGCCGGCCTCTTCGTCATCACGACGGCTTCGGCTCACAACTTTGACTACCTCAAGAAGCTGGGCGCCGATGTCGTCCTGGATTACCATTCCGACACCGTCGTCGAGGACATCAAGAAGCACGCCGGCGCTGGACAGCTGAAGAACGTGCTCGACTGCATCTCCACAGAAGCGACCGCCAAGATCTGCGTCAACGCCTTTGGCGAGGCAGGCGGCGTCTACTCCGCCCTTCGGTTCGTGCCGGAGGAGCTCGTGTCGGCGATCAACGACAAAGTGACACTGAAGCTGAAGCTGGCGTATTCCGCCATTGGAGAGGCGTTTCAGTTCGGACCACTTTCGTTGCCGGCGGATCCGGCGGACCTGGAATTTGCAAAGAAGTTTGTGGCGAATACGGAGAAACTGCTGGCGGAGGGAAAGATTGTGCCTCACAAGCCGACTGTGGATGAGGGTGGGAGTGGTCTCGGCGGCGTACTCAAGGGTCTCGATCTCGTCAGGGAGGGCAAAGTCAGCGGCACGAAGTTGGTGTATCATATCTAGGTAGCCTGGCTGGTTAGCTCCGTCGGCCCAAAAGCACACTTTTCATCTTGTCACAAGCATCAAGGTTTCCAAGCATATTGAGAATGAAATTGACTCGGAAAGCCGGAGCCAACGAATAATAACTGGATTCGTGACTTTTGAGTATCCATAATTCTGTCTGTAGTAAAGACGTAAAAGACCCTAAAGAAATGCGAAAACTTCTTGCTTGCTTGCTCGCTCGCTCGCTCGCTTGCTGGACAGGGTATCCGTTGTTCCCCAAACACCATGCTCTATGCTCAGTCCGTAACCGTACTCGATGCTTTTGTGGCTTCATCACTCATTCATGTCTTTAATTCGTCACGCTTGAAAGAAAGCAGAAGGGTAAAAACAAGTCTGGGAAGGGGGTCATCGCGGGGGTCGTATCGGTGTGCCGAGAGGTGTGCTGTAAGCCGAGCGATCATAGCTCTTGTTCTTGGCGCGTTTTCGTTTGAGGGCAGTCCAGTCGGCCTTCCAGTTCAGAATACTTTGGTTGAGGTCGGGATCAACATCCAAGGGTAGCTGTACTTCAATAGCCTTGAGACCCAGACGAAGGTAAGTGAGCTCCGAGTCGTTTTCTTGAAGCTCTTCTTCCCTGCGATGAGTCAGTAATAGTGCTGGGTTGCTGCACGCTGGGACACATACAAATTCCGGACTCTTGACTGAAGAAAAATGATGCGTTGTGCTGCGCGTTCTGCGCGGGTGACAAGTAGCTGGTGGATATGCTGGACAATTGTCAGTTACCGTCTTATGAGTCATCTACTTGATTCTCACCTCCGATTCCTCTTGTCGGGCCTTGAGGTTCGTCATGAGGGTTTCCAATTCGATGTTGAGCTTGGCCGCCTCAGATGCGATGCGGAAAGCGTCGACAGCGGGTTTTTTCTCGATGGTAGGTTCAGGAGAAGGGGTGTCTCTTCTGAATGAGCTCCGCCATGAGGGTGAGATATCCGATAGTCCAGAGCGAAACCATGACGGTGAAGGTGAGGTCCACAGAGATTCATGCTCTTGCTCAATCTGCTCAACCGCCGGCCACGTCTTAGGCTTGCCTTGGGGTGTCTCTTGAGCCACATGAACCTCGCCAGTCATGACACCTTCGATCTCGTCAAGCTTGCCATGCATGGCGCTAACGCTGGTGTCCGGCACTTCCTCGCCCGCCAGCAGCTTTTCCGCTAATTCATTGAGTCGCTGGACTAGCCCAAGAGTGTCTCTGGTGGTCTGGGTGCCATTTTCGTCTGAATGAACGGATGCCGTGAGGTCGTCTTCAGTCCAGGACCGGGCCAAGGGGCTCTTAGCGACTGGCGTCGAGAATTGCTGGCTGGTGGTGGAAAACTGTTTGCGCGGCGGTGACAGCGGTGAGAAGCCGCGGAAACTCAGAGTTGAAGGCAGAGAGGGCGATGAGGCTTGCGGTGAGGAGGGTTTAGGCGTGGCAACGTGCGGCGTCGAAGGAGGCGGTAGTTTGACGGCACGGTCATGGCTTCTCAGACGCCTCAGACCTTTGCATGGACTGTTGTCGTCCTCATTGTCGTTCAAGTCGATAAAACGTAGGCCCAGCCCCGAATCCGACCTGACGTCCGGCATAGCTGTGCATTGAAGTGTTTTGGGAGTGCTTTGGGCGGCGACTGGCCAACCAAAAAAACGGGTCTTTAGCCTCCTCCCGAGTCCTCTTTTGGAGGGAGGATGATCAAAGGAGTAGGTTGACGCGATTAGAGGGAAGCAATGCGACTATGAGTCCCGAGTCGGGTCAGGGCTGCATGCGCAACGGGTGACAAAGCGGGAGAGCTACGCTACCAATCGCCCAGAGTCAGGTATCAATCCGTAGGTAGGTAGTTACTTAGTGTAGTATTTCCGAATGGGTTCCGAGAGGCCGAATTGTGTGCGCGGGCGCTTGGCTGTGAATGGGAATCTGAATTTTGGGGTTGGTAGCTGCAGGTTAGCTGCGGTAAGGTGTGATGAGGTGTGTCGGTCAGGAAGCCAACCAATGCATTCGAGTGAGAGTCTGGCTCCTTTGTCTCTGGCGCGTTGGACGCGATGAGAGGCGTTCAGTTCGTGTCGGGGGCTGGTGAAGGCTGGAGTCGGCAAGCGAAGGGCTGTGACTGGCTGGGCAAGCTTGAAGAATTGTGGCGCCATGCATGTGACCGCAGGGGGGACGTGGACACTGAGCTGGCAGGAGCTGCCCACATCCTCAGTGCCTAGCCAAGGGCAGGTCTTGGAGACTTGGAGACGCTGGAGGGGACATCGAGGGAAGGGGAGACCACACACACTGGCACTGGGCGAGGCAGGAGGACGGGAGGGACGGGGACCGGGATTCTGCGGCGGGCGGGGGCGGTCTGAGCGGCATTGAGGCTGCCGCTGCATCGAGCTCGCAGTTGTGTTGCGTTGCATTGTGTGATGTGGGGGAAGGGAAGGGGCGGACAGTCAGCCATCCCGCCCACGGGCAGCCTTTTTTTTTTTTTTGTTCGGCTACCAGGAAGGACACGGGGAAAGCAGCAGTAGCTGCTGCGTGCTGCTCAACGAGAACCCCTCCACGACGGCCGTCGGTTCAGTGGACGGGTCGCGTGCGACGTAAATTGCTAGTGCGGTACTTTGGCGGTCAACTTCCCTTCTGCCGGTCACATGTGTCAAGCTTACTTGCACTTTGAGGCTTTGGGGTGACCATCACTTTCAGGCACCTTTTTCCACACCACCTCAGTCGGTTGTTCAGTGTATCTCCCATGCTACAGTGTCTACCTACCAGTCTGGCTGACACTGACTCTGAGGTTCCAAATCCGCAGACGGCTGAAGCTGAAGCTCTTGGCAGTTCCGAGTGTTACCAAAGTACACTTGACAACCACCTGCTCAACAACCCTGACTGTGAAACCAGGAGTCAACATCGAGTAAATATAGACAAGAGGCTCTCTCTGCTCGGAGGCTTTGAGAATCGAAAAAAAACAAAACCCCGGGCTAAACACTGACGAGCGGGCACCACCGGGGACTTGTTTCGAAGCGCACCTCTCCAAGTCGGCTAACCCACACATGTATCGCGCTACCATCGAACGACCTCCGCAGGGGCCTATGACGCCGAGTCGGGGAAAGTAGCAGCGTACCTTTGCCGGCCCAGTCTCCTCAGTGGAGAGAAAGTTCCTGGCCCGGCCGCGGCCTTGCTCTGGCTGTTCCCGGCACTGCACTCCAAAGCTCTCTCGCAACATCCCGCCGCTGCTCCGTCTCCATCCTCATTGCCAGAAATAACCTACTCGAAACACCTTTTCGAGTAGCGCTGCTCGCACGCGACCTCTGTCATTATCCCCAATTGACAATGCAGCACTAGAAGTCCTCGTCCATTTTCACTTCTTGGAGACCAAACCCTCGACATCGACCCTCTCTGCCGTGCCTGCCAGGTTCCATGTTGCCCTGCGTCATATCAAAGCCTCGGTAAAGGCCCTGACCAGCTCGCTCCCGCGGGGTCGCCTCAACTCGAACTTCCGGAATACCAGTCAATCACCGGTCCCTCAATAGTCGCCCAACATGTCGTGGAAGAAGACGGACAAGTTGATGGACACCATCAGGCATTACGCCAGTTTCCCGGCGACTGGCGTGAGCTTGAGGCAGATGGTCCAGTTTGGTGAGAGGCCATCCGTTGGTACGTCTATCCCTCCCCTCCCAGTCGCTCCATCAGCCTCATGCCTCGCCTTTTGCGGCTTCCGCATGCGCCGCCTGCTTTCACTCGCGATGCGCCAATCCTATCAGCCTCGTCCGGTGCCGTTTGACCTTCTCGCTGACCACCTGCCTCTCTCCAGGAACTCTGTTCCGTGCATCGCAGTTCCTCGCCGAGGAACTACCAATTCGCCTGGCCCACCGCGTTCAAGAACTCGACGAGCTTCCCGATGGTCTCAACGATATGCCTTCTGTAAGGCGTGTGCAAGATTGGTACGCACAGTCGTTCGAGGTACGTCGAGGCTCTGCTTGCATGACGCATGACGGAACATGACTCACTGACGTCCGGTCGTTTTTAGGAACTCACACAACTGCCACGACCCGATTTGGATAGAAGCACAAAGGAAAGACTGTTGAGGCCGAGCAAAACTTATGGCAAGGCTCTACTCTCTGAGGCGACAAGAAATCCGAGTATCGAAGAGGGGCAATACGCATCTCTGCCGCAGACCAACAACGGCAATGGCTTCAACAAGCAAAAGGCCGTCGCCGCACGGAGATACTTCGCCATGGTGGACGACACCGGAGACTGGCCCGCCGAGCTTCGGCTGTACAACGAAAGATTTGCAAAAGCCCTCCACGGCATCAAGAGGAGACACGATGGCGTTGTGACGACCATGGCGCAAGGTATTCTGGAGTATAAGCGCAAGCGACAGCGCATGCAGATTGACAACAACATTCAGTCGTTCCTCGATCGCTTCTACATGTCGCGCATAGGCATCCGTATGCTCATCGGTCAGCACATCGCCTTGACTGACCAGAGCCACCACCGCGACCCCACTTACGTCGGTATCATCTGCACAAAGACGAATGTCCAGGACCTGGCTCAAGAAGCCATCGAAAACGCGCGCTTCGTTTGCGAGGATCACTACGGGCTCTTCGAGGCCCCCAAGATCCAGCTTGTGTGCAACCCGAACATTAACTTCATGTATGTGCCAGGACACTTGTCGCACATGCTTTTCGAGACCCTGAAGAACTCTCTCCGCGCCGTCGTCGAGACGCACGGCCAGGACAAGCAGGAGTTCCCTGTGACGAAGGTCATTGTCGCGGAAGGAAAAGAGGACATCACCATCAAGATCTCGGACGAGGGCGGCGGCATCCCCAGAAGCGCCATTCCCCTGGTCTGGACCTACATGTACACCACCGTGGACAGGACACCGAACCTGGACCCGGACTTCGATAAGAGCGATTTCAAGGCGCCGATGGCTGGCTTTGGATATGGCCTGCCCATCTCGCGTCTGTATGCGCGGTACTTTGGCGGCGACCTGAAGCTTATTAGCATGGAGGGGTGAGTTGCTTGCGACATGCTTCAAATCATGTATGGACCGACTAACGCTCTGCACCAGATACGGCACTGATGTGTACCTCCACCTCAACCGCCTGTCCAGCTCATCAGAACCCCTGCAATAGGGACCAGCAGTCATGAGGGATAGGAATGCTCGAGGATTGACGCTGGGGCTGAGGTATAGTTTGCACAAGAGGCTCAAGGATCGCGAGATCACGGAACGTCGGCAAGTCGGCGACGCCCAAGAGATGATGAACCGGGGCGGCGACGCCAATCCAGGGTTTTACAAGCGTGACAGCGACCTGTAAGAACTTCTGGGCAATATGATTTAGTGGCTGCTTCCTGCCTGGCCACCTTGATTGTGTGCCCAACTCACTCTCAAATTTGCCTCCTCGAGGGTAGAAAAGAGCTGGGTTGGCATGCAATCACTGACGCCGGGGTCAGGACGGCCGAAGCAATGTAAACCAACAGCGTGCTTGGTTTGGAATTCCCTGCTTGCGAGTGCTCGTAGCAATGCTACGAGATGTATGGCACACACACACACACACACACACACAATACTTTACTTTTTGGATATGACGATTGGGAGGGCATTTTAAAAGAACAAACCCCGGCTGGGAATGGTCTTCGGGGTAAATAGGGACAGGCCGCATTCATACCACCGAGACCGGATGGCGGTGGCGTCTTCGTGTCTTTCTTATACCGCCTCTTCTGTCGTTGAACTTGTTGGAATACATGATTGCGTGCATTCACTAGAGACGATTCTGTCCATCTGCAATTCCTGTGCATTATGCTACCTAACTATGGTGGTAGCTTTAGGGCTGGGCCTGTTGGCCCGCCGGCCTCCTGTATCGACCGAACCCCTTCCAAAAGAGCAAAATAACATTCCCCGGTAACCCCGGCAGACCTCTCGAGTGTTTCGTCAAGATGCTGTGCTCACTCCAAGCTAGAAGACAAGAGAAAAGAGAAAAGGAAGGAGAAGAGAAAGCGCAGCCGAACCGAGGATAAGCACGACCTAGTCAGATGTCTCGTCCTCATCGTCTTCATCCTGGTAAGGACCTTGGATGATGCGCTGCTGCTGCTGCTGCTGCGGCAGAGTTCTCTGCCTATTTTGATGCTCCTTGCCGGACAGCTGCTTACGGTCTCCCTGTCTGTCCTGCGAAAAACGTCAGCGACCACCGAGCATATGTCGAAATGAGTATTAGCACTTACTGGAGCGGAACCGAAGCCGCTCTTCTTGGGCTGACCTCCCATGGTCTGGGGACGGCTTTGTCCGCGGAAGACGTTGTTGGCTTGGGCATTGTTCCGCGGGGCAACTTGGCGTGTTGTCTGGGCGGATGCCGCCGCTCCCATGACCGAAGAGCCACCAGACCGAATGGTTGGGGTCTTGTTCACTGCATGTTGACGACCAGTCGAGTCCCAGGCGTTGAATGTGACAGCGGCAGACTGAGGCTGAGACTGGGGCTGGGGCTTCGGCTTCTGCTGAGCCTCTTGAGCATTCTTGAACCAGAGTGCGGCCATGCCGTTGTCCAGCTCTTCCAGGCGAGACCGATTGGTATCGGCCGAAACCACGGACTCGGCGCCACGAACTGAAGAGGTGACACTC